CTTACCTCTCTCGAATTGAAGGCTAATTCATGCTGCAGCCAGGTTCTATCACATGGCTTTTGCAGAGGAATCTGCCAACCGAGTACATCCCCGCTCCAATGTGGGTCCCAGAGCACACTCCGGCAGCCATTTTTCAAAGTTGGAAGCTTCTGACTTTGAAAAATGGCCACTGGAGCACATTTTGGGACCTGCATTGGAGTGGTGGTGTACTCAAACCTGGTTGCAGTGTGAATTAGCCTTCAATTTGGGAGAGGAAAGGTTTTTTTTTTTTTTAAAAAAAAAAAAAGATGTGCAATAATTTCCTATTTCTAGGCAAAGCAGCAGAGAGATATCTCTATCCCTCCAGTTGTTTTGAAGACCTGAAGAAAACTACTCACCCCCATGAGACTTTTGAAAGAAAGATGACATCCCATCGATGGGTTCTCCATCACATTTTTTTCTAGGCCACTAGGTAAAACAAAGCAAAGCAAGCAAGCAAAGAGATTGTATAAAATACTTGATTTGTATCAGTTTTGAAGTTCTATCCTTAAAAACAGGGTTTAGCAAAGCTTTTTAAAATTCTTATTGCACAAGAATTCAGATAGCCAATACCCTTCTCCCTGCCAAGCATCATGTGTTATTTAGCATGGCCATGCTGCAGTGCATTATAGAAAATGACAGCGAAAGCCTCTCTGAAACACTGATGAAACATTGACACTGCCTCTGAGGTGTGATGGTTTGGTAGAACAAACCAGAACTGACAAAATGTATGTAATGGTGACAATCACTGCAAAGTCAGAAGAAGAAAAGTGTTAATTTCTACTTGTCAGTGAACCTGGCAGTCATGGCACAAAAGGGATGCTGGATGCAGTTGCCAATGCCTACAGCTGGATCCAAAATAGCTAGCCATATCTTCATGCAAGTATTTACTTTGGTTATAGATGTAGTCAGGTAATTAATAAAAATGTTAGGTCAAATGACTGAAAGATTACAGTATTCGGTACTTTTAAATTTTCTATTTGTTTTCTTTCTCATCTATTTGTTTTAAAAATCGCTGCATTCCTGTTTAAAGCCCATGTTTCCAACTACACAGAAACTTATTGCCTGCTGCATGTGTTATTCTCCTATAGCACCAAAATCCAACTAGCATACTCCCTGCTTAGAATCATTGGCTAAAATCTTATCTTGGAGATTTTGGATGGGACACTTTCCATATTTCTGAGTGAGGTGGAGAAAGATCTGAGTCCTTCCTATTATTTCTCTGAGGGGCAGTGAGGACAGATTTTTTACCTCAAAGTTAAACCAAGGCAACTGGTGGATTAACCCCACTTCTATTAGAATATAAATAGTTTCAACCTTTTAGTGCTTAGTTCAGAACTGTGCCTGGGTGTAGCATCCATTCATAAATGATTAGTTATGATGCTAAAAATTCTTTTCTCTTAAGCAGCACATCGGGTTATAAGGCCAAGAAAGAAAATGATCCCGTATGTTCTATATAATATAGACATTTTTTTTGCAGATTATTGATAAATTGTTCTCCTTGTTACTTAAATAACAGGCACATAGCATTAAAGTGCTATATAGTTTACTTTTCAGCTGAACCCCTGGGAGGCCATTAAATATAAACACAATGGAACAATAATCCTGGTATACTTGGCTATAGCAAATCTATCAAAGCTACAAATTTCTGACATTTCATCCAATCTAAGGATGGAATTAGGTACAGGGAAATAACTTGCCCATTCCAGCTGGTCTTTGCTCTCACTTCCACTTATCCAACTGTTTCCTTCTCCCCTTATCACTCTAGCTAAATGGAGACATTGCAATAACAATCTTTTCTTTTTCTGCAGTTACTAGGAAAAATAGCATCGGTATTTTATCTTCATGGGGTAGCTGAGAACTGTAGTGATGAAGGCAAGATGAAAGGAGGTTGCACCTAAGAATTAAAAAAAAAACAGGGTAGGAAAAGTGACTTCTTTTGTTGAAGAAGTAAGAGTACAGTTCCAGTACTTATTGCAATAATTAGAACATTGAATGTGTGGGTATATCAGAGCTTTTTCTGATTTCTCTGCCCCCTAATCCAAGAGTTATATGTTCAAGATCTTGCAGAATTCTTGGACTTTTAAATATGAATAGAGAGATAAGGGGAAAGGAATGAAGAAAATCTCAGATATGCCTTCAAGGTAACACTCCCCTCATTAAAATAATTTCAACTTTCCCTGGTATATATGCTATGGGAGCCATGACTTAAATTAAAAACATCGCATGAGGATGGAAAATGTAATAAAGAAAATGGAGGGCCTTGTGTAAATCTTAAATTACCAAATTGAATAAATCTGTTAACATTGCCTCTCTCTCTCTCACACACACACAGTATGCCTTAAATCCAGACTTCAAAATAAAAAAATGAAATCATTCAAACTGAAAAATTTGATTCCCATTCCAAAATTTTATGAGATTTAAAAGTTCTGAAAATCTTTATTTCAATTCATTTGAAAACATTAATTGTTTCATGTCATTTACACAGCTATTGACTTATTTATTACATTATTGTCATTCAGATGGTTGTAAAACAATGGAAACATTTTAAGTGAGTGATAATTTTTTAAAAAATATTGAAAATGAAGCATGTAAAAGACATCTCCTCTGCACACAATATTTTATACCATTTGCCTGTCCAGAATCACTGGGGCTCAAAGGGTATGGATCTGTGTGCATACCCTCCAACTGTTCCAAATTTGATAGTGATAGTTCCAATACTCTGTCATCCCACTTTTTCAGATACTTTTAAAGTGTCCCAGTTTCTCGCCATCTCCCACTTTCCCTCTTTGTCTTCAGTATAATTCAATTGCTGCAAACTAATGACCTTTGCAGACTGCTAGAAATAG